AAAAAAAAAAAAAAAAAAAAACGAAATTGAAGTTCTTAATATACCTAAAGCTGAGCAATCTAGTTTTCAACATGATAAAATGTTGCCTTTATTTCAGGTTGTTGCATTCTGGGGTCTGCATGGTGACAGTTTTGAAATGCCTCCACTTCATCTTTTATATTTTATTTATTTGTTTGTCTGTTTTATCTGTCTAACCATAGGAAGAATATAGAAATTCTATGCCTGCATCCAGTTTTCAGCAGCAAAAGCTTCGTGTCTGTGAGGTTTGTTCGGCTTATCTTGGTCTCCATGACAATGACCGTCGTCTAGCAGACCACTTCGGGGGCAAGTTACACTTGGGGTTCATTCAGATCCGAGAGAAGCTTGATCAGTTGAGGGTATGTTGATAACATTCTTTCTGGGTTTTTTTGTACGACAGGATTGCTCTGTAACAGCTCTGACTGTACTGGAACTCACTCTGTAGACCAGGCTAACTTTGAATTCAAAGATCCATCTGCCTCTGCCTCCCAAGTGCAGAGATTAAAGGAATGAGCCACAGCTTCCCTCCCCTTCTTTAAAAATTTACATTGTGTTCTGCTTGCATGTATACGTGCAGTCCAGAAGAGGGCACCAGATCTCTTTATGGCCTTGTCTATATTCTTTAAGTTGGATTTAAACATGTTTCTGGGTTGTTGTTTTTTTTTTCAGGCAGGGTTTCTATGTGTAGCCCTTGCTGTCCTAGAACTTGCTCTGTAGACCAAACTGGCCTTGAATTCACATAGATCTGCTTGGCTCTATCTAAGTGCTGGAATTAAAAGTGTCTCCACCACTGCCTAGCAGAAGATCAGAATTTTAAGATCATCTTCAGCTAACTGGGCAGTTTAAGATCCATCTGTTGAAACCTTGCCTTAACAAAAACATTTGCTTCTGCCTTTCCCAGTAGCATTTTAATGTACTACTTTGCATCTTTGCCAGTATGAGTTTGATATGCTGGTCATATGAGGTGAATTGTAGATGTGGGGAAGGAAGTGATGCCACACCTAGGGGTCTATTCTCAGCCATACCTGCTTTAGGAAGGTGTGAAAAGGAACTGATATCCTGTATGCCTAGCTCAGATGAAGGATGACCCGAGTTGGAGGTGTAGCAATGTGGTGATGGACAGGACAGTTTGCCTGGGCCTTGCTGTGTCCTCTCACCTAGAGGGTACTTGCTTTACTCACTGGGCATAGAGATTTTTCTGTGCTATCCCTGGCTCTAAGCAGGGAAGACTGGTAGGTTTTTGTATCATGGGGTATGACTTACTCTCCCTTTCAGGACTGTGTTTTCATCCACTCTGCCCAGATGGTGTATTACAAGATTTGTTAGTGTTAGTGGTGGGTTATAAAGGTTCTTAGCCCTTTTCAGCTGGCTTGAGTCAATGCTGATTTGATGGTAAAGTGTATCAGCCTTCTGGCTTCTGTCACATTTAGGATCGAGCCTGATGAATTGAATATGCAATTGTGCATATTCCACAATGCACTTACCACATCAGAAGTGAGTTGCTTCTAGCTGCCTAAGAGTTCCACTCCCAGCAGCAGGGTGTATGTGGTCCTACTCATGTTTCTTTTTTTACTACAATGCTTATAGAGAGGCTGTAGGATAAACAGCTAACTTGATGGTTTGGTTTGAAGCATTGTGATCAATTTCCTGTGGCTTAAAAGTTCAGCCCACCCCCCTCCTTCGTAATTTGTCACCAAATGTATAAAATGATTTAATTTTTTTTTCCATTTGTTCTGTTAGGGATATTTTTTTTTTTTGAGCCAGGTGTCTCTGTAACAGCCCTAACTATCCTGAAATTAGCTCTTGTAGACCAGGCTAACCTAGAACTCACAGAGAGATTCACCTGCCTCTGTCTCCTGAGTACTGAGATTAAGTGTGTGTGCCACCACCGCCCGGCTTCCGTTAGTTTTAAAAATGAATATATTGTTTCCTAAAAGTTGTTGCTCCCCCCACCCATTTTTCATTTATTTAGAAAACTGTGGCTGAAAAGCAGGAAAAGAGAAATCAGGATCGCTTGAGGAGAAGAGAGGAGAGAGAGCGAGAGGAGCGGCTGAGCAGGAGGTAAGTGTGGACCAGCCTTAGGAAACTGCTGTTTGCCATGTTGTGATCTGGAATAGTTAGTGTTTACCATACAAAGAATCGGCAGTTATTTACTTGTGTGTGTGTGTGTGTTTTTCTTTTTTTAATTTAGAGATAGGGTATCTTAGTGTTTCTATTGCTGTGAAGAGACACTGTGACCACGTTAACTCTTACAAAGGAAAATATTTGATTGTGGCTCACTTGCAGTTTAGAGGTTTAGTCAATTTATCATTGTGGTGGGAAGTAAGGCAGCATGCAGGCAGACATGGTACTGGCAAAAGTGTTGAGGGTTTCTCTGTCTTGACCCACAGGCAGTAAGAAGTCTGAGACCCTGGATGGTGTGTTGAGCATAGGAGACCTCAAAGCCAACTCTCCTGGTCCCCTCCTACACACACAGTGACACACTTCTTCCAACAAGGCCATACTTCTTAATAGTGCCACTCCCTTTGGGGATACCACATAGGGTCTCACTATGTAATCCAGGCTGGCCTAGAATTTGCAGAGATGTGCCCGTGTCTGCCTTCTAATAGCTAGATGAGGGCATGTGCCATCAACCTGGCTCTGGGGTGACCTTTAAAAGAAAAATTATTAAATCTATAACATACTCAGTCTGGTGAGGTATGACATTGACTTAAACAAGGGAGGAAGAAACTAGGGAGAGTTACTCTCCCCTCTCCCCCCCCAAGACAGAGTTTTTGTGTTGACTTGGCTGTCCTGGAGCTAGCTCTGTAGACCAGGCTGTCCTCAAACTCACAGAGATGCACTTGCCTCTGCCTTCTGGGTACTAGGATTAAAGGTGTGAGCCACCCACCATTGCCCAGCCATCCTTGGACCTCACTGAGCCGGCTCTGACAGCTGGGCATAGAACCTTCAGCAAATAGGGAAGGCAACAAGGAAGGGATCTGCTGCTAAGCTGTAGTCTCGTGGCAGTGCATTGATTGTCAGCTTTGAAGTGAAGGGGTGGAGGCTTTGTATGTCTCCTCCCCCTTTATTTTTTTGAATTGGACACATGGGGCCACAGGACAGAGTTTCCTATAAGACATGTAGTTGGAATATGTTCCTGCTTGAGAAGCAGAGTGTTAAGGTGTTGAGCAAAAGCCTCCCCCGCCCCCACGCACGAGTGAGGTTCTGATTTTCGAGGCAGGAAGAGTGTGAGTGGTGTGATCTGGGCTAAGGTATTTGGGGTAGAACTGACTGGACTTGGGGTCGTGTGAGGAGAAGGAGTGCAGCTGGCCTCGTGGTCTCTTTTCTTTTTGTTTTGTTGCTTGTATATCCCTGGCTGTCATAAAACTTATTCTGTAGCCTCAGGCATCCGCCTGTCTTTTCTTCTCTGTGCTGAGATCAAAGGTGTGCACCTAGTACCGTGCTCAGTTGGCCTCTTGGTTTCTAATCTAGAATTTTCCCTTACTTTGGACAGGGAGGATGGAATGAGGAATAGGGGTAGAATTTGGCTATATTTAGTTTGAGACGTACTCAGATAGATGTGTTGGATCTAATTTGAGTTGAAAGAAGAGATGAGAGCCAGAAGTAACTATGCTATCTTGAGGGACACTTTTTTTGTTTTGATAGGATCTTACTGTGTTGCTTTGACTGGCCTAGGACTCTGTAGACCAGGCTGGCTTTAAACTCATAGTGATCCATCTGCCTTGGCTCTCCTTGGTGGTGGGATTAATGGTGTTTTATTTTCCTGTTTAGGTCTGGATCAAGAACCCGCGATCGCAGGAGGTAGGTTTTCAGATCTATCACAGGGTTCTCAAGTTGAATACTTTTTTATGCAGAAACATTTAATAATTGATGTTTACAGCTTCACAACTTAGGTAGGCAAGATTGATTTGTGAAGAGCATTGCTTAGGATTTAGCACAACAGAAACACACATTCCATTACCACCACTACAAGGAAAGAAGGCCTGGAGCTTCTGCTGAGGCCTACAGACAAACTAAGAGTGTCTAAATCCTGTGTTTTGGTTTTTTGAGACATGTTTTCTCTGTGTATTCTTGACTTTGTAGACCAGTCTGGCCTCAATTTTAGAGACCTGTCTACTTGCCTTTGCCTCCCAAGTGCTGGAATAGGCATGCGCCACCACATCTGGCCAAGTACTGTACTCTTTAGAGATGTTATTTAGGGGAAAGGTTTTGCCATCAGACTAATTCAGGGGACTCTTTAGTCCAAAATTGTACGTTTATGGGAGGAAAGAGAGAAATCGCAGGAAAGCTTAAAAGCCAAAAGATGCTAAGAGGAGAGAAATGGAGGTTGACCTCAGTGATGTCTTGCTCTCAAAATCATCTGCATTTTCCAGGTCACGATCTCGGGATCGGCGACGGAGGCGATCTAGATCTACCTCCCGAGAGCGACGGAAGTTTTCCCGTTCCAGGTCCCGAGATAGACACCGGCGCCATCGCAGTCGTTCCCGGAGCCACAGCCGGGGCCACCGCCGGGCTTCCAGGGACCGGAGTACAAAATACAAGTAACTACTCTGACTTCCTCAGTAGCTGCAGCCAGGAACAAGCCTTTTCTCTTTGTTCCCAAGTCTGCTGGGGTCTGTCATGCTGGCCTTTTGGCCACTACATCTGGTAGGGACAAGGTTGGGTTTATGGGAAGACTAGCACCCTGTGTTGGTACCCTGAGAGATAGACAGTGTCACCTAGTGCTTGGAATAGTATAAGGCCGTTGAGCTCTCATGGCCCTCTGGGTAGCACTGCACTTGGCTGGGCTTTTTGTACTTTAACTTGGTAAAGAGCAGCTAAGGTTTTTGTCTTAAAAAGGTTCTGCTTACTTACCTCTCTTGTAATTTTGTTTTGAGACCGGCCCTCACTTTGTAACCTAGGTTGGCTTGAACTCAAGATCCTCCTGCTTCAGCCTCGCAAGTGCTGAAATGAAATGTGTATAGCACCATGCTTGACATATGTGGTTTTTCCATTCTACTCTTTTCCATTGTCTTACATACTGCGTCATATTCCACATGCATAACTTTATTGTATTCCCATTTGCTTTGTTTCTGTTACACCAAAAACTTTCCTTATTAAAGTCTTTCCTTTTATTTATTTATTTTTAAAGATTTATTTTTATTATGTGTATGTTAATGTATTGTGTCACAAATGTTAGTGTAAGTATATTGTGTGTGTGTGTATGTATGTATGTATGTGAGTGTGCGTGCGTGTGTGTTCTTACTGTTGGAGGACAAAACTTGTCTTGAATCCTCTAGAGCTAGAGTTACTGGTGATTCTGATGCCCTACAAATGGGTTCTCTACAAGAACATCATATCCACCCCCTTAAACTTTTCAAATGTTACTTTTTATTAGTTACTTTTAAGACCAAACCTCACCCTGTAGCACAGTCTGGCCTCTGACTTAATCACTGCTGTCTCACCTTCTTAAGTGTGAGGATTACAGGTATAAGCCACTATCCTCAGATCAAAGGGTTACCTTAATTTTTTTCTTTTTTCAATTATTATCTGTGTGATCAGTTAGATACAGATGGAATCAGGCTTGGTTGGCTGTCTTCTGGTATGTTAAGAGGCACATGAGCACCTGAGGCCACGCAGCAGTGGAAGCAAGGGCAGGTGGATCTCTTGAGTTTAAGGCCTGGTCTATAGAGTGAATTCCAAGACAGCCAGGGCTACTCAGAGAAACCCTGTCTTGAAACATTTCCCCCAGCCCACATAAAAAGGCACCTGAGCCTGGAAGGGAAATGGCCTTCTGTAGTCTAGGGCTGAGGGTCTACCTTAATGGTTCCTGTGCAGCCAGCCAGAAGGAGATGGCAGCCTCTGCTGAGCCTCTGGTTCCACTTTCCCAGGTTCTCCAGGGAGCGCTCATTGAGAGAGGAATCCTGGGAGTACGGGCGGAGTGAGCGAGGGCCCACTGACTGGAGGCTGGAGAGCTCCAATGGCAAGACTGCATCGCGGAGGTCGGAGGAGAAGGAGGCTGGCGAGATCTGAACCTGGCTCTGGCACTGTAAATAGTCTGACAAATGTTCAGCACAGCCTAAATTACCCTTTATATTTGCTGGATACAACTCATCTTTTGTAGTTAAAATTTCTATTGTTTGGCCCTAGCTGTGAGTTTCTAGAGTTGTTCAGAGCTGCTCCTGTGTTTGGGGTTATGTTGTATAGGAACAAATAAATTTGGCGGCTGCCTCATGACAGCTGTGTTGGGGTGTGTGCTGTCCTCTACTCTAGAGGCACTTCACTAGGACCCTGCACCTGTGGAAATAAAGGCTGGTGCTGCCATTACCTTAGGAAACTGTCCAGATGTCTGACCACTTTAACTTTAGCATCCTATGTGCCAGGGCACTCCAACACACTTAACTGAGCCAGATATTTGTGACTTCTCTGCCTGGCTCACATGCTGCATCTCAGCTACTCAATGCAGACCATAGAGCCGGCTCTGGGTGTGAGGGGGCGGCCATACTGCACACTCATTTCCTTAGGGAGAGCTATAGCTATCGCAACCTTAGCTTAGGGGAGCAGTTCCACTTAGATGGAAAAAAGACATAGATGGCCTCTAACTGCCACTCGGGAGGTCCTTGGGAAAGGCTTGCAGCTTAGGTCAGGTATCTTGGGTGGTTTACTCTCAGGGTAGACTTATTGTCAACCCCTGAGTATATGTTGTTCACAGAGGACCAATGCCTTAAGACCAAAGTGAAACCTAAATAGAAAGGATATTTGAATAGGAGCTTCTTCCCTTTACTTCTCTGGGGAGGGGGGGGGTTAGAGTTTGTTTTCAGAAGGAGCTTTAGTTGGTTGTGTTAAACATAAAAGCTTCCTCTCTCCCTGCCATGCTTGTAAAAGTTTAGGTGCTGTCTTGAACTGTTGGTTTTATGGTCACACATAGGATCTTGAGATCTTGTAGTGTGGCTCCTGGTGCTGCCCTGGGTTCTCTTTTACAGAGGATGTGTGTGGGTACTTGCTATGCTGGTGTGTGAAACAGACTTTACCTTGTCAACTGTCTCCATACGAAAGAAGGTAGGGTGGAATATCTGTGAAGGACCCACTGGGTCTCAGTGCTATGCACAGGTGCCATTGTAGGTTTCATCTCTAGCCCCTTGGCCTTTAGGTGGGAATCAGTTTAGCTCTGCTCTGCTGTCTTCCTGGAGTAAAACTGTACCTGGTCCCAGGTGAAAATTTTGACTAGCTGTGGACTCTTACTAGGAACATTTTGCTTCCTGGACTCTTTGGGAGCTTACCTGGACAGTTCTCCTCAGAGCCAACATCAGTATGTCTGGTTTGGATCCTTTTCTGTCTACATATAAATTTGTATGTGGAGAAACAACTGTTTTGTTTTATCAGGGTGTAAAGTTACTAAAAACATTTCTGTGCCCTGGCCTTTGGTACCCACAGAGGATAATTTCTGGGCTCATGTGACAGACTGCAGCTACTGGGGTACAGTAGGCAGACCCCCTGCATAAGTAGAATCCTTTGGGTGGTCAGTGTCCCTAGAGTTGCAGAAAGGCTGCTTGCTTCAGTCTCTTATGGAGACTTTACCAAGTTTGTAAGGTCTTTGTTTGTTTTTTGTGGGTTGTGTGGGGGGAACAATCTTGCCCTGTTAACCAGGCTATTGAACTTTAGGGCTCAAGATATTCGTGTTTCTGTTCCCAAATAGCTGGCACAGTTGACTGTGCCAACACATCTGGATGCTTTGTTTTATTGTTTTGTGTTGTGATTGTTGTTGGGTTTTTTGTTTGTTTTTCTAGACGGGGTTTATGTGGATATCCTGGAACCTATTTTACAGAACCAATTGGCCTCAAACTCAAAGATCTGCCCACCTCTGTCTCCTGATGTTTTGTTTTCTTAATTGGAATTTTCATGGAGAAAGGGAACTAGGACAAATGACCAGAGATTTGTTGTGTGTGTTTGTGGGGGTGGCTCAGGCCATTATGCAAAAAGTTATGGGATCTACTATATGCAACCTGAGGGCCCCAGGTACTGATTAGGTTCCAGGCCCAAGAATTTGAAGAACCAGTAGTTTTCATCCTGGCCCTTTGTGAAGCCCAACAACCAATACCATCCACAGGCCAGGGCATAGGAGAGAAGATGGACGTCCAGCTCAGAAAGAGAATATATGCCCTTCTTGGATCCTGTTATTCTTTCCAGGTCCTTGGTGCATGGGTGATACCAGTGTATTGGGCAGGGAGGTCCTGTCTTTGGCTGGTGATTCTAATGCTTCTCAAATCCACACTGTGTTTTTCCCATGTCATATAATGTGTGTCATGCATGTGCTTTGGGGGATGATTTTACAGGTTTTTTTTTCTTGCTTATACAGGGCATAGATTACAAGTTCTTGCACTTGTTCATACAGGACATAGTTTGCCTTATGTTGAGTGAGAACTGAAGGACATGGATGTGTAGGACATATTCCTGTGCCTGGGACATAGCAAATAGGACAGCAGGTTAAAATCAGGTTTCTGTGATGACCATGATTGATTTTAAGGCAGGAAGAAGGCATTATCTTCTCTCTGAAATCAGATGAAAACAGGGTTTAGTAGCCCCTGGTCCCCTTGACTACATGAGCAGCACTTGTACTGGGGACCCTATTTCTATCCTAGGTGGCCTATCAATGAATTAGGCCCAGCCAATATGTATCTGAAAAAAGTCAGGAGGATGAAAGTGAAGCATCCCTAGAGAGTGTCTGACCAAGGCTGATCCTGCAGTTAGAGAAACTGTGATACTGTTATTCTCTGAGGGATAAAAGCTGCAGGTATTTCCCAGAATAGCCAAATCTGGTCTCAATATTTGTGACGAATAACCCTAGGCCTGCCAGGTTAGAGGCCTCTTGAATCTCCTAATGTCCCATGGTCATTTTAACAGGTAAAAAGACTGGACCTTTATCATATTAACTTGGGGATCTGTGACTCTTGGACCTTTACCTGTGTACTGGAAGGGTAGGCCCTTTGAACTCAGAGGACGTGAGAGAGAGGAGATGCAGGATATGCCTCCTTAGAGAATGCATCTCCAGTTCAGCAACACTTGTTTACCTTGATAGGGACCCCTCCAACAACAGCAGGGTCAGTCCGCCACTGGTTGTGAGCTTTATTCTGTAGTTTGGTCTTGGGATATATGAGCTCTGGATTCCAGAATTAGCTATGACCTGGGAGCTTTATGTTTCCCTGGGCTCCCAAGCCTTAGGTTTTTCCTACTTGGCATGCATTATTAAAATACACTGAATTTTAGTGTGTGTTTTATCTTTGTCAGTGTCCTCTTGAGTCGTTAAAACACTTCCTAGGGTCTGCTTACTGCTGAAATGAAAGCAATTGCTTCTCAGATAATTCAGTGGACAGCTGTTGGGTGTCTTGACTCCTAGCACATGTTCCTTTCAGAACAGTGACATTTGTGGAATGTCCGTGATGTGTTCCGGAGACGACAGCAAAATGCAACAAACTTTCTATATAAAACCATCATTATAGCCATTTCTGATGTGTATGTCAGTGGTGTTTATATATCCACAGTATGAGTCATCATCACTGTTAGCAAGTTGCAGAATGTTTTCATCCAGACAGAAACTCCAGCCCACTCCCAAAACTATTCAGCTCCTTCCTGAAGCCCCTGGCAATCTGGAACCTGTTTTCTGTCCCTATAGTTTGCTTATTTGGATATTTCACAAACTTGGACTCATGCACTGTATGGCCTTTGGTGTGTTGGCTTCTGCTCAAGGTTTTTGCAAAACTGGGCATGATGTAATCTCGTTACTTTTATGGATAAAAAAAAATTCCATTCTGAGTGTGAGCTACATGTTTTTACTCACTCTGATGGTTAATATCAACTTGATGGGTTTTAGAATCACCCCGTGAATGTATCTGTGAAGGTGTTTCCAGAGGTTTTAGTGAGACCTACCCAGATATAGGCTGCATTATCCTATACTCTGAGGTCCAAGACTGAATAAAAAAGAGGAAAAGAGCTGAGCACCAGCCGTCATCTCTGCTTCCTGACTGCAGATGCAGTGTGACCAGCTGCCTTAAGTTCCTGCAACCGTGACTTCCCCACCACACAAGGACTGTACCCTTCTACTGTGAACCAAAATAAAACTGCTTCTCTCAGTTGCTTTTGTGAGGTCTTTTGTCACAGCATTGAGAAACCAATCTAATATACACTCACTTTCTAATTCTTACACTGTGCTGCAGCTGGGATTATCACTGATGCTCTGCCATGACTATTTTCCAAAGATGTTTCATGGGCCCAGGGGAAAAGACACTGACCGCTATTTCTGTCCAGAATTCCTAATAATCCCTGACTTTGTAGTTCCTGGCTAGGTTCATTCCTACCCAGCATTTGTTTTTGTCTTTTTCTTTTGAGACAGCCTCACTATACAACCCTTGAAATCACAGAGGTCTGTCTCAACCCAGGGTTTTATAAGAGAACTGGGGATGTATTGATGCCAAGCCTGATACATCATACCCACACTCTGCTCTGCAAGGTGGGTGTGTGTCTAGGGGAGCATTTGGTTAAGCCTTCCAGCTCTCTCTCACTAGCTTACATTTTGGTGGGTGCTGAGCTGGGCCATTTCCTATGTATATGTGTCTGCGTGGTATGGAAGGTAGCAGTAGTGAAAGATATTGTATTCCAGCAAATGTGTGTTGTACCCCACTGGGAAACCCATGATAAAAGTAAAACTAGTTAGGACACAGGATTGTCCAGAAATCCTGGGCAGAAGTCTCTGCTTGACCCCTCTTCCCTACACTTCAACATCTCTCTGCTCCCTGCTCTTGTCTGACCTTGTGCCTCTGCACAAGTCCCAGCCTAGGGATATGCCCCAATCTAGACCCTAGAGGCAGTGCTGCCAGTTGTGACCCCCTTGGGGATCATATATATATCAGATACCCTGTATATCAGATAATTCACAACAGTAGCAAAATTACAGTTATGGAGTAGCAGCAAAATAATTTCATGTCACCACAATGTGCAAAACTATTAAAGAGTCACATTAGGAAGATTGAGAACCACTGCTTAGGTCCTAAAGGCTTCCTTAAAACAGCACAAGTCGTGGCACCTGTGCAGATGCAGACAACCCAGGCACACAGGCTTCTTCCTACGTAGGCGTTATTCAAAGACCAAGAAGTATGGATGCCAGGGAGGAAGGACAGCCAGGAGACTCCAGTTTATTAGTACTTGGAGGTCAGCAGTCACAGAGGCAAGGAATTTGTCTAGAGATGCCTGAACCACAGGGGTGGACTCAGCCTGAATGTGGCAGGCAGTGGCTCAGGAGCAGCTGCAGAGACAGGAAGTTTCAGACCCTGGCTGTAGACACCTAGACACTGGGCTGAAATTTTTGAAGCCACTGTACTCACTGCTCTGGGCTCAGGGGCCCCACACCCTCCTTGCTGGTCCTAGATCCTGCTCCCCACCCCTGAACACCTCCCACTGCCGCCTCCATCAGGTCCCAGCACATACTTTGAAGTTCACAGGTTATACACGCAACTTGTGGGCCTGCAGGTCAATCAGAGCAGACAGGGCACCAGGCAAGTCATCCAGGTCTCTAACTGCTGTGGTCAGGGCGTCTTTAACTATTTTATTCACTAAACTGGGTGGGTTTCCATCATCTGGGGAGTCTCTTGGCACCGTTCCGGTTCCTCTGGATACTCTGTATTTATATGTCTCTGGAAAACCCACACTCGAGCCTTAGTGTCAGAAAATGGCAACAGTCACCTGGGTCCTGTCCCTTCAGCTCAAGAGATGCACCAAGAAGGAAAGATACTGTGCTTTGGATTTCCCAGAAATACCAGGTGCTGTAGGTCTCCCAACAAGCTGACCTACTTTCTGGGGTCTGTATTGGCAGGTCCTGGACTTGTCCAGCAAAAAAGGGCAGGAATCAGTATTTCTGGCACTGTCTCTGTGTCTTCAGAAGTCTAGAGTGTAGTTGTGATCCTGGCCTAGGTAGTAACTGAGCTAAATGTCAAGCCAATAGCCTATCTTTATGTTTTTACTTTGCTTTTTGTTTGTTATTTCATGTTACTAAAGATCAAACCTTTGCCTATCCAAGATAGGGGCCCCATTCTTGAGTTCTATACCCTGGCCTGTCTTTTTTTTTTTTTTTTTTAGGGTGTGTGTGTGTTTTATAGGTGAGTGAGTTTTTTGTGCCTAAGATTTCCCTGCCTCAGATTAGGAAGTAGCTCGGACCCAAATGAGTGCTGCCACCAAATCTTGTGTATGATCTGTGGCTGTAGGTTTAGCTGGTACTGGGCAGTCTTGTTTATTCACAGCATGGAAAGCCCAGGAAACCTTGTGAGAGTATCCTTTCCATGTGAACCTGAAGGATCATGAGCCTGAGATGTAGCCAGTGGGCAGTAGTGATGGAGGAGGGTCATATGTCTATTGATTAATAAAGTGCCTTGGCCTTTTGATAGGAGAGCAGCTTAGGTAGGTGGAGTAAACAGAACAGAATGCTGGGAGAAAGAAGCCCAGTCAGTGAGTCACCATGATTCTCTCACGCAACACAGACACAGGTTAAGATCTCCCTGGTAAGCCACCAGCTCGTGGTGCTACACACATTATTTAAGATGGGTTAATCGAGATGTAAAGATTAGCCAATAAGAGGTTAAAACTAATGGGCCAGGCAGTGTTTAAAAGAATACAGTTTCCGTGTAATTATTCCCTGTAAAGCTAGTCGTGCAGGAGCTGGGCGGCGGGAAGCGGCCTGCAGCTCCTTAACAACAGAGTAGGTTAAAATCAGGTTTCTGCCACAGTCATGATGGATCTTAGGTAGGCAAAAGAAACTTCAATCCCTCCTTGAAAACCGGTGAAGGCCGGGTTGGAGGTCCCCAAGTCCCTTTTCTACATGACAGGCTTCAGTGCAATCACCTCATCCCAAGCAGTTGAGTCTTGCACAGAATGCTTTAACCACAGCCTCCCTGATACCCGAAATTACACACCCACATACCCACACACCCTGGGCATGACTGGGCTGAGCAGGCAGGAGTTTGTGACTGTGAGTTTCTCTGGCACAGTGCCCAGTGTGTCCTGGGCATCCATGCTCACCCTCATTGAGCAGCATCTGTAGCTGTGACCTCCATGTATGGATCTAGGCAGGTGACTGCCTTGCAATAAGACTTGGCCCTGAGCAGAGTTTAAATAGACCAGAAGCCTAGGTGGAGGGCACAGTTTTTCTGTCCTGACTGCCACTCTCTGTCCTGGCCACTGTCTCCAAATTACCACACAGAAACTAATATTCCTTGTAAATGCTCGGCCAATAGCTCAGGTTGTTACAAGCTAACTCTTACATTTAGATCAACCTATGTCTACTAATCTATGTATTGTCACGTGGCTGGTGGCTTTACTTGTTCTCTAGCATGTCTTCTTTCTGGGCAGCTGGCTGGTGTCTCCTCACTCTGCCCTCCTTCTTCCCTACTTTCTCAGTCTGACTTTCCAGCCTGACTTCCTGCCCAGCCACCAGCCTGTCAGCTTTTTATTAGCAATGGCAATAGTACATAGCCATAGTGTAGAAAAGGATTCTTCCACAGCAACCAGGGGAGGGTGATGGCTGGGAAATAAGGTTACTTTGAACATTGTCCTTTATGCTGACCTGTGATCTTTGTACCTTTGAGACACAAAAGTGACCATTCTGCAACTGATGCAGCCAAGGCTAAAGGCATGCATTTGTGAGTAGGGGCCATAGATGCTCCAAGGTGGAGATGGCTTGAGGCTCCCCTGGTGCCTGGGGACATGTGGAGGTCCAGGCCCTCCAGCTGCAGGTGGTCTTCCTGCTACCACCCAGCTCTTTACTCTTTGCAGTGTGTTACACAGATCCTGTCTTCCTGCTCTAAAGATTGAATTCATCACTACCTGCCCATATTTTCTCTGGCAGCTGCAGAAAGCTATACTTTCTACAGCTTAGAGCACGTCTACATGCAGGAGGCCCCTCTTCCCACCTCCAACACAGAACACAAAGGGTTAAATTAAAATGAAAAGAATCTCTGTGGAGCCAGGTGTGGTGGGGCAGGCATGCTTTGTAATCCATGTACTGGTGGGTGGGCATAGGGCAAGGGGTAGGTTGGAAATGGGACTGGAAACAGAAGGATCAGGAGTTCAAAACCAACCTAGTCTAAATTAGGGATCTGAGAGGCCAGGCTGGGTTACAGGAGACCATTAAACCTATCTCAAAACAAAACAAAACAAAACAAACAAACAAAAAAAAAAACCCCACAATACAAGGACCTGCCGCTTTAAAAGGAGGTCTATGACTCCAGCTTGACTGAAATTCCAGCCTCTTGGAACCTTGCTTTGGGATCCCAGGATACATCCTCAGCGGTATTTGGAGACCAGTGCCAAAGTCACAAGGCCCAGGAACTTGTCTAGGGAGGCGTGCATCATTGGGCTGAAGTCTCCAGGATAGTGTCGGGCAAGAGTCACCAGCAGACAGTGGCTGAAGAACTGGATTAGAGAAAGAATCGCCCCGCCTTGCTGTTATCTCTCCCTGACACCCAGACTTGAAGGAACCCTCTCTGCAGCAGCCACCAGAGCAGCTCAGTCCCAGAACCCACCTGAAAGTTGGCGGGGTCTACTCGGAGCTTGTGAGCATGCAGGTCGCTGAGAGCAGAGAGAGAACCAGGCAGGTCGTCCAGGTGGTGGGCAGCGAGAGTCAGAGCATCGGCCACCTTTTGGCCATGGGCTTTAACCTGCCTAGAGCCGGGACTCAGGTCGAAGTGTGGGAAGTAGGTTTTGGTGGCAGGGAAAGCCATGAAGGTCCTGTGGGAAAACTGAGTTGGGTGCATCCTGGCCGGGAGGTGTAGAGAGCCCTCCTTTGCCCGGCCGTCCATTGGAAGGTGAGCCCGAGGGCGCCCGAGGGGGTCCTTACCTCTCCAAGGCCTCGGTCGTGTAGATTCCAACATTGGTGCTCATCTTTTTCCATAGCGCGAGAACCAGAGCGCGCTCAGTCTGGGACAGAGCCGTCTTCACTGAGCTGTGTCCTCGCTCCTGGCTTCCCGGCTCTGGGCAAGGATTCCCGGAAACCCAGGGTGCCGCCAGGGGGCGCCGCTGCGTTCCTGCTCGCCTAGGTGCTGGGTTTATCTAGGTGCTGTAAGCCGTGTGTCCCTCTGAG